ATTACTTTTGGTCATTAATGTAAAATCTGTTTGATTTTTATTTTGATCCTAAATATAAGACTCCAATCCACTTTATCTATCATATTTATACTTTTTTTTCAAAGTAGTCCTTTTAACAATGATAGTTCTAGTCAATACATTTGATTAGCAAGGATATTTTAGGAAAGACAACACCTATTTAGAACAAATAACTAACTCAACTTACTTTTAATCTCCTCAAATTAATTAACTGGCTTTTATAATTAGGATGAAGATGTATGTTGGTATTAGTATTGAGGGAAAAAAAAAAAAGCATATCATCAAAGGATGAACTATAGATTTTTTTTTTTTTGGGTAAGAGAAAGACCACAGTTTAATGAAACAAGCAAATTCATAGCATTGATTCGTTGCTTTCAAACCAAGTTGATGATTGGCATTTTACTACCAATTCTATTATTCTTGGCATGATTCCATCCCCAGAACCCGGTGTCATCCATCTATGGGCGGTTCGTTCATTTAATACTTTGACTCAAAAAACCAGACACGAATCTCTGCAACTTCCTCTTGATATTGAAACTCTCATTTGGCTGCATCCGTAGAACTAGCCAGCATTATTCACTGTTCATGGGGTCCAAAATCCCGTTTCCTTAGAAAATTATAGGCCGTTGTTTCTATTGTGTTATGTATAAAGATAATGATTGAAAGGTGACAGATAGTGAAAACGAAAATTACATAGTTGGCCCTTGGCATATGCATATTAGACAGATGTGTCATGCCCAGAGGCTAATAAGTTGTGTCCGGACGCTAAGGAGCAGTATTTCGAGGAGATTTTCTACTAATTCGTACCCGCATTCCTCATCTGCAGATTTCACCACGATGTCCACCGCTGCTGGTCTGACGATTCCATGCAAAGGTATGAATCCATTTTGTTTATCCTTATTTTTAAGAATCTTTCGTGGCAAAATCACGCAACCAGATGGTGCTGGACACTGTAACGAATTCTTCTATTCAGTCTTCGTCTAGTTTCATACTGTAAATTGGGAAATTAGAATTCTCATCGGAGCAGAAGGTTGAGTTCCATAGCAAAATCAGGTTTGATTCTTCGGTTCCGTTCCGTTTCGTTCGATTCTGTATTTTCAGTTTTATCCACGGAGCCACAGATAGGACGAAAGAGGTATTTAGACTGAAATGCTGCTGAATCCTCCTCTGAATCCTTTTCCATAGCGAAATCAACTCTATACAAGTCTCTATAAGAGAATCACACAACTAGAATTTGGATTTCATGTTCTCAAGCCTTCTGAGATCTATATCCGAATGTAGACGGTTGGATCAATGAAATAAGGCGAATGTTTCAAAACCATTGATGAAGATAGTCAATTAAGGGTCGAGATCATTTCTTTGTGATGTTATGCGGTCACTATCCTTGGCACTACAAAACAACAATAGCTTATGTTATCTTTCTATGGATTTGTCTTTTTTTCCCCTTTCTTTTTTAGTACTTTCAACTCCACATGATTTTCCGAAAGAAGTTATTAGATTTTTTTTGAGAATGTTACATGTATTTTAGCCATAAGTGGTAATGCAGGTAAAGATATCTATAATGTTTGAGGATTCTAATTTTCCTGATATAATTTTTCAAAGAATGAATAATTATTTTTTTAATCTTTCCAATACATAACCAATTAAATAAATGATTTGAAATACATTTTTATTTTAATTTTAAACAAAGTAGAAGAAAAATGAGATTCATTCGTGTGAAATCCAGCCAAAAAAATAGATAAATTATATTTCTTCTTTTATTTCCCCCCTCTTCATTAGGCTTGAAATGCTTCAATACATGTAGTTTTTAGTAAAAGAAATACAGGAATGAATACAAAATTTATGGAATGAATATATATGGAAAAGCAGCTGCAGTAGCATGGGAAGCAGGGAAACCATTGGTGATGGAACGAGTGGAGGTAGCTCCACCACAGGCGATGGAAGTGAGGATCAAGGTCAAATACACGTCTCTCTGCCACACTGATCTCTACTTCTGGGAGGCCAAGGTCTTTCTAACTCAATTCTCTTTCATTTTTTAAAATCCAAGCCACATGCAGAATATTACTATGTTTGTTCTCCAACTCACAAAGCTTGATCTTTCATTTATTTGTGTTTCAGGGGCAAACTCCTCTTTTCCCCAGAATATTTGGGCACGAGGCAGCTGGGTAAGACGTGTTCTATTTCATTAAAGCAAGTTGTTTTCAACAAAGAAAGTTTAATTGGACGTGACTCCCTCGTACTCTGTTATATGCATATAGCTTCTTTAAATCATCTATAGTTAACACCGGTACCCTAACTTTGTCATGCTTCTACTAGTAAACTAATTATGACACAGATTATTAAGATTCCTTCTCAAATTTTAAAAATCAAAGAATTATTTGTACATCATGCAATTAATTGTGTTAGTTTACTTAATTTGAATAATGAACAGAATTGTGGAGAGTGTTGGAGAAGGAGTGACAGACTTGCAAGCTGGAGATCATGTGCTTCCGGTATTCACAGGGGAATGTGGAGAATGTGCACATTGCAAGTCTGAGGAGAGCAACATGTGTGACCTTCTGAGAATAGATACAAACAGAGGTGTGATGCTCAGTGATGAAAAAAGCAGGTTCTCCATTAATGGCGACCCTATCAACCACTTTCTTGGCACTTCCACTTTCAGTGAATACACTGTGGTTCACTCTGGCTGCCTCGCAAAGATCAACCCTCTGGCACCTATGGATAAAGTCTGTGTTCTCAGCTGCGGCATTTCGACTGGTTAAGTCCCACTCTACTTTAAGTTTTTAGCTCATCTCCAGATCGTTTGACAGAAAACTAACTTGCAACTAAAACAATCTGATAATTTACAAATTGAGTTGTTGCTTTACTCTTAGGTTATGCATAGATGAATAGATTTCAGCTTTAGATTCAATTTCTTGCTGACTGATTTGTGTGGAACAATACTCATTGAGATTTCAGGATTGGGAGCAACTCTGAATGTGGCAAAGCCAAAGAAAGGTTCCTCTGTTGCAGTCTTTGGCCTTGGAACTGTCGGCCTTGCTGTAAGTTAACATCCAATGTTTGTCTAAACATAACATGGATACAGATTTTCAATGCCCTACCAAATTCTTCAATCATAATATTATAACTAGATTCTAAAATATCAGGCTGCAGAGGGCGCAAGAATTGCTGGGGCATCTAGGATCATTGGGATTGACTTGAACCCTAGCAGATTTGAAGCAGGTAGATTTAGTTCTCAGACCTACAGTAATCTCCCCTTGCTAATTAACTGATAGTTTCAGGAATCTTCCCTTTTCATAAACTGATAACGTAAGAATCTGACTGTTTGTTTCCTTTTTCTTTGATGTTGTAGCCAAGAAATTTGGGGTGACTGAGTTTATAAATCCAAAGGATTATGATAAACCAGTTCAAGAGGTACATCAATTCTCCATCAGCTATGTACTCACTGTTCACTTCACCTGGTCTTTTATGGCTTCATGAAGCTATGGTTATAAATCACAGGTTATTGCAGAGATGACAAACGGTGGAGTGGACCGCAGTGTGGAGTGCACTGGAAACATCAACGCCATGATTTCTGCTTTTGAATGTGTTCATGATGTAAGCCACCTTTTTATCAGATAGCCATATCATATGATAGCAGAAAATCTGGAAAAATGATGGTTAAGGACCAATAACTTATATTAATGATAGCTAGAGAGCTTCAAAGCTTTTTCCCTCAAAAGTTTGGAGAATAAGTCTACGTTGAGGATAGGAATTCGGCTATATGGCTAATAATTTTGTGCAAAACATTTTAGGGTTGGGGAGTTGCAGTTCTTGTAGGAGTACCCACCAAGGATGCAGTGTTCATGACCAAGCCAATCAATGTGCTGAACGAAAGAACACTAAAAGGGACTTTCTTTGGGAACTACAAGCCCAGGACAGATCTTCCATCTATTGTTGACATGTACATGAGCAAGGTGACTATGGTTTTTCATTCTGTTACAGTCAGTAGGTCTCTGTGATAAAATGAGTGAAATTCATGCAAACTGATATACTTCGCATTTTCTTTTTTGCGTGTTTTGTTTGGTTGCAGAAGCTGGAATTGGAAAAGTTTATAACACACACAGTTCCATTCTCTGAGATTAACAAGGCGTTCGAGTTGATGATAAGGGGAGAGGGGCTACGCTGTATCATTGACATCGACGAATAGAATTTTGGAATGCATAATATCGTTTGATCCATAGCTGCCTTTATGTAATTCTCATCTATACCCCTAACGATTGAACTATCTCGAACGTGTAGTTAGTAAAATATTTTTGCGAGGGGCAGAGAGAGAACCGAGTAAGAACAGAGGACATAAATGATATACAATATTTTCTTATATTACTCTTCCCTCAGAGGCTCCTCACAATTTGCATTTTAAATTATTTAAGCTGTTATATTTTTATTGATAGCGTAGAAAACTAAATAAAAAGGTGTGGCGAGATAATGTTTTTAATATAATGTTCAAGAATTATGTGTAAGTTTCTCATTAGGATATTAATATTATCACACATAAGGTCAGATGATATTAAATAAGATTAAGCCAAATAGAACAACTCATGATCGTAACATATAATGCGTAAAGGTCATTGTAAACCATTTAAAATTGCATAACCTAATTAAATAGTGTGTTTAGTGCTTACTTATAAAGATATTTTGGCATAATAACACGTGCAAAAGGATAATAAAACCACAAGAAAAGTTCCAAAAGGAACTAAAAATTCTATCATGTAAAGTTTGATAAGAAAAATGACTAAGAAATTCTTTTATACAGGGTCCTAGTAAAGTTTGCATAAACTTCCACTATTTAGCGTTAGCATATATTACATAATGAAGTTGTGCAGCTACAATTCTCTGAGTGAGAAGACCTGCAGGATAAGCAAATGCACAAACCTGTAAAACCTCCCAACTCAGCCCTCTCATTAATTAAAAAGACAGAGAGAGAGAGAGAGAGAGAGAGAGAGCATAAACTTTGGACTCTCATTTGATTTCAGTATCCCTTTGACAGCCATCACCAATGGAAAAATCACAGTATTCTCATGCTCTCTGGGCATATGCTTATTTTAACTTCAGGTTTATCTACAACTAATTTGCAGCTGAGTGATATCACCAGCAGAAACAGGTTCAAGTGGAAAGTTACAACATTTTTTCTAACCTAGGGTAATTTTTTCCCTGAACAACAAGCCTCAAAATTGTTACATTATGAAATGATCTAAACAACTGAAAATGTCATGATTTGCATGACTGAGGATGACTGTGCTCTAAGTAAGTCTCGATCTCTTCCATCTCAATCATCATGGATTTAGATCTGTCAAAGTCTCAACTTTTTAACACACTGATAGCGTTCATTTCATGGGGCAAGGAAGAAAAGAAAAGGAGCACAATATATGTAAGATCTAGATTTCCATAATGAGCAAGGCATCACATCCAACATTGCAATGGACAATTATAGAATGCAGAAAAATGGCTCGGAATGACTTACTCTGGTGACACTACTTGTACTTGTCCATTATTTTTCTGGCTTCTTCTACTGGATCCTCCATAGGGGTGGAGGTGGTAGTGGAGGTGGTGTCGCTGCCTCCCGTTCGTCCTTGATCTTTATTAAAAGCTAGGAATGCAAAATATGCTAGTCCCATAGTGGCCTGACATCATGCAAATCATTTGTTTCTATGAACTCAATATTGCCTATCAAATGAACGCCAAAATAATATTGAAGACGATTTATTAACTTCAGAATATTGAATCAGGTTGCAATAATTGATCCATTTTTAGAATAGCAGGCAAGACAAGAAATATTGATACAAAGAAGTGCATCGAAAAAATATATTCATTTGAGATTCCTGGCATTCTTATCCTGCCTTAAGAACTTACCAGTTACCAGTATAAAGAACGTCCAGACTTAAATTTCTTTGCACAAAGAAAGTGGTTGACTCACCAGTATAAAGAATGCTGTAGAGAGGAAAGACTTCAGAACAAAAAGTCCAACGCTCAATGCTACAAAAGTTACAGAAATCCTCGCTACCGGTCTTGGTATAGAATCCTAGTGCCAGAAAGGAGAAGAAAAGAAATATAAAATGAATAATAAAGCAGAACAAAGTATTCAATAAGTAGACTTGATCCAAGGATTGCCATGTTGAAAGGGCTATTCAAACTTACAGGAACCAGATTAGTACCCGCCTCAATTCCATCCCTACCAACTTTCCATGCTGTCTGGAGAGCTATTAAACATAATCATGACGGCAGTGGGAATCAAAATGAAAGGTTAGGTTTTCCTGAAGAAGCATGAAAGTTAAGGCAATATGCAGCATTCAGAGTAAAAGTTCAAAATTTATAACACAAAACTATACCATGAATCAAATTTTAAACAAATCATATGATATTGTCAAGAAGCAACAACCAGACACGCTAATCAACTACATTCATTATGGATGGGGAGGCGAGTATGGGGGGGGGGGGGGGAATTTTCTTGGGTTTATATGTTCACTCCTCAGCAAGGATAAAATTCATTGTCTAGGTAGTCATCACATCATAGGAAACCCTTCAAAGATGTCAGGAAATTCCACTGAAAATTTTGCATAAAAACTAATTGACTTGCTTTACAAAATGCAAATTGCAGATTGTGACCCAAGATCAAGTTCTGTTTGAGATTAGACAGTTCATATTACCTAAACGAAGTGCTCTTCATCATACTCTTATTGTTATGCATAACTTCCTAAATCCTATATATATATATATATATAAAACTGAAACGAAGCCGCTAGGACATCAAGGATGATCCATTACCCTAAGTTTACTCAACAAAAATCAGTCACAAGGGCGATAACTGCAGCCAGATAGTGCTTAGGATTGAGAAAATTCAAATTGATGTCAATTACTATAATCCAATCCACAGATTAGAAAAGAAGATCAAGCAAGTTCAAATTCAGCTACACAATTAAAATATAACAAATCATTTCACCAATGGTCATTCAGAATCCGATTCTCTTTATTTATACCAAGTCTCCTGTGCCAGTAAACCTAGAACTTGCAAACAAATATAATCTAATAACCCTGAAATAATTCTGAAATCGGCTTATCTCCACTATCGTTTCGTCAGTGAACTGAAATCTCATCGTCCCAAATATCAGAAGTATTCATAAGTTTGACACTTTCATTCGTTTGGATATAAACAAATATGTTTTCCTTCTATTTAAATGATTCAAACTTTTGTTAGCTTGGAACCGTGAGCAAATAACATGTCCAATCCGAACATACCCTGAATGAACAAGACTGCCCGAATGAAGAAAAATCTAACCTTGAAAGATATTCGATTGTACTGCGAGAACTACAAAGGAAGAGCGACGCTTGTGGGTTCTGGTTATCTTAGGGCGAGAGAATCTCAAAGGCTGATTTTTGAACTTCAAAGAGGAATTGGACGAAAGAAATCGAAGAGGGGTTAGAGCACAGGGTCGACCATGAAAGCAAGTTGGGGAGTAGGACGAAATGGGACATGAACTATGAATATTAAGAACTGAAGAACACATTCTCCCCTCTGAGCATAAAGTTTCTGCCTTTTGTTGCTATCAAAGAAGGCGAAAGCTTTTGCCGCAGCCAGAAAGAAAGCGGGAAGAAAGTGTGACCAGAATGCCACCGCTTCTCTCAGCCTCACAAATAAACCATTTTTCCAGCACTTAATGATATAAAAGTTTATTGGAATTTTTTATTAGAGTTGTTTTTTTTTTTTCCGGGCTAAAAGAAGAGAAAACCAAAGAGCTGACAGTGTGAGGGTGTCATGTGCGTGAAGCAAGTAAAATTGATGTGAGTATATTGTAAGTTTGTAACAAAAAAATTTGATATTATGTATTGATAAAAAAATTTTAAAGTTATAAGCTGTTTTTACCTTTTATAATTTGGGTAAAATTCATTGAAGGGTTCGTCTGGCAAAAAAGTTTAAGGTGGCGTCCTTGTTCTTTGTATTACCTAAAAAAGGTTGTCCGTTTGCTGGCCCAAGCTCAGTTTCGGCCTAGTCCAATTCCCGAGGTATGAAAAGTTTTGTAGTTTTTAGTTAGTCTTGTTTCTTGAGGGCATTTTTTTTAGTAGAAATATAAAATTAAATTTTACATTTTAAAAAATGAAACTTTTACTCCCTCCATTTCAAAGTTACAAGGCATATCTTGAAGTACCATGTTCAAAGATATAAGGTATTTTGGTCTTCCAAAGTGTTATTAATAATAAAAAAAATTTGAAAAAAATTCCTTGATTGAGGGTACAAGGATTTCTAATTAAGATACTCAACGTAATTATGAAAAGAATGTGTAATTAACGAACTTATTGAGGGATGCAACATTGTAAATTAATTATTAAAAATATCTTACAATTTTAAACAACAAAAATAAATTGAATAAATGGGGAAAAGAGCTAAACTAAACCAAACTGACAAACGTCCTAGCCAGCTAAACTATTCTTGGTTTTGTCCGAAAAGTTTTTCTTATCCCAATGTAAATAAAATCAAAGTCAAACCTCCCTTATTCGCACTTAACTTAATTGTGTTCGTTGGCTAATTTGATCCTTTTTTCCACAAATATTTTGTTCAGTCTGATATGTTTGAATATCTTTGCGACTGCTGTGTGTATGTGTGTGTCTATATCAGTTAACACTTGAAAAATGATGGTTGGCCAAAAAAAAAAACACTTAAAAAATGATAGCAAATATAGTAGTAATACAAGGTTTAAACAGATAATTATACGTATTCCCAAGTTGGCATATCATAAAGTGCATAAGCCAGCGACTAGAATAATACATAATTGACGATTAATCCCAACTAAGAACATATATATATGTATGTATGTATGTATATTACAATATTACAATTTGTCGCTGTACAGAACTTCACCTTCCATTTCGCTATAGATTCGAACGACAGATAATAATATATATGTCATGTTCAAGACTTGTTCATCCAACGTTATTGCCTCGTTCTCTCATTCTTGTTTGGTGAAAATGTATCAGATCCATTAGCCTTCTGGCATTTTCCTGAGGCTGCTTTCTTCGTCTCAACTTTGGTGCCAGCTGCTTGCCTTACCTTCACACCCCTTATCATCTGTTTGCCAAAACAAAAACATGAACTGGGCTTAATCTTCAGAGATTAAAGCAAAGGAATTAAACAGAATGTCATTATTAGAATATACGGCTCTTACATATTTGCCACATTTTACATCTGAATATATCACTATGAAGTCTCCTTCCTGAAGTCCATTGGCTCTCACAAAATCTCCTGAGAATCATTATGATCAATCAGATATATATATATCTATATGGAGAGAGAGAGAGAGAAACCCAAAAGAAGCAGCAAAAATGAAAACTTTGATGAGAAGCTAATTGATTTAGGAATAACCCACCTGTATTCTCAAGCAGATACATCCTGCTTTTGTTGTTTGGCCAGTATCTGATACACCAACATTTCAGTTTCTATAATTTTGATTAGAAAGATAAACACCAACCAAACAGAGAAATTGATTTCGGAATTACCTATAGCGCATGTTCCAAACACGACAAGTTCCAATGTCTTCCATTGCTATAGAAATCCCATCTCTTTCCTCCAGTTCTGGCAAATGGGTTTCTGCTTCTCTCTGATGATGCAATCCAAACAAAGTAATTAATTCTTCCGTTACAACCACACAGTCATCAATAATTCAAATTTATCACAGAAAACAAGAATCACCTTTGGCAACACTATCCTCCCCAGATTACCCACGTCGCTTTGCTTTAACACTTTCTGCAGAAGGAACTTCAAGTTCTTCTCTGGTTTCCATCCCTATAACATAATCCCAAATAGTTCAATGTTTCGATTTCAGAACATTACAAAGGTCACAATACCAGATTTATTAGATGAATATAATCTACCTGTCGTTTATCTGATGAGACCCGGTTTTGTTGATTATTATTCTGGTCGGATTGCATGGCCGCCATCCGATCCCCCACATTTCTCCCCGACGGCGGTGGCTCCCCCTGAGACGTTGGCACAACAGAAGCGGCTCCACCGTTGGACGGCGCCGGCGGCGGCCAATACAACCAGTTGGGTGGATTTGCATGAGGTACAACTGTAGCAGCAGTGTAATAATCACTGGTTGGGCTCTGCTGGTTTTGTTGATGGTCTTGGACATTATTGTGATGCCTGTGATGAGATAAATGCCGTCTCTGCCTCGCCATTCTCTTCTTCCTCGCTTCTTTTGTCGCCAACGGACCCAATCTATCTGGGCCGCCGCCGCCATGAAAATACTGATACGGGTACTGATTGTTCCCGTAACCGCCAAATCCCGCCATCGCCGACGGGTGTAGATTATTGTTCCCATATGGTTGATGGTTAGTATAAACAGTAAACTGCGAATGAGGCCATGAATGTGAAGAATCCGGCGCATGAAATTCATTTGAAGCCCCGCTGGAAAACGGGTCTCCCAGGTTATTGCTATAACCAACTAGAGGTTGCGGAAATGGTGGCGGGCCCGCCGGTAAAGCCGCTGGATCAACCCCGTACGGCGGCTGAGAGATCCATTCCAGGCCAAATGAAGGTTGGTGGTTGAGATTAGAGCTAGGGTTTGTGGTATCCAGAAAATGAGTGGTGAAAAGATTGTCATTCTCATTATTGTTATTAACATGATTTTCCAGGCGTCTTTTCTTCTGAAGATGGCTCGTCTGAACCCATTCCAGAATTAGCTTCAACAATTGCTTCATGCCTTCTTTCCCTCCACCAAGACGCTTCGCTGCACACTCTATTGTCGCCTTCTTCAACCTCACGTTCCTCAAATCAGTTGCAGACACGCTGTCTTTGTTTATCTTCAGCCATTCCAAGAACACCGAGCTCATCTCTTCATCCGTCGCCGTCTCCGCCAATGGCGGTGGTTGTTGTTGCTGCTGCTGTTGATGTTCCTCCTGCAGTATCATTCCACCACTTGCATGTCCCTCCTCCGGCGGATTCGGGTCCCACTGGACAAATTCGTCCAATAGATTCTCTTCATTTTCAAAGATTGATGAAGGATCGAAGAATTCATTTCCCTCCATGAGTTCCATAGTTCCAAATGTGTCCATCATGTCCAGACAATCTCCGCTGTCATTAGTGCCTCCTTGATGATCCGGCGGCTGCTGGATCTCCATAGAAGCAGTGGAGGATAACGCCGGCGGCTGGGTCTGTGGCGGTGGGAGACGAAGCTCTGCATCTGACTTGAGATTCGCCCAGGAAGCCGCCAAATTAGACGACGACGTATTGGAGGAGGAAGAGGCGCACGTGACGGTTTTGACTGTGACTGCTGCGGGTGAAGATGAAGACGAAGAAGACGACATGCATGAGAAATCTGGAAGACAAGGGAAGTCATCATCTGCATAGAACAGAGAAGCGTCGTCCATTACACCAGCAAGAAGATCATCCTCATCACCTTGATGGCCACCATTATTGTTCTGAAGCCAGATCTCTCGCTCTTTAACCGCCGCCATAACTGTTTCTTCTTCTTCTTCAAAGAAATCTCCTACTTGCACTTGCGGTTCCACACCACCATTCATCTCTCATTCAGAATCAAAATCCAAAAACCTTACGACGCAACTCTTCAACTCGGAGTGATTCTTCCCTTGTTATGCTTCAGATGAGTTTTTAGAGAGAGAAATCGGATAATAACGGGGATGAAAGTACTTCCTTCGACTTTCTTCTTTCTCTCTCCTGTTTTTGTTCTCTGTGTACGGATAAGTGCCAGGGAAGGAAAAAGATCTTCGCGTTTGTGTTGGATTAAGGAAGCAAAGGAGATAAGGTGTGGCTTTTGAAATGAAATCTGAAAGAGAGAAGCAACATAAAGCATCTGGTTCCGTCAAATCATAATAATAATACCCACACAATCCACAAAGAGATCTCAGCAAAAACATTATGGATAACATAAACAAAAGAATATAATATAAATCTTCTTAGTCTCTTACCTTCGAACTAAGAAAGTGACTTCTCTCTCTGTCCTCTCAAATCTTAGTAAGATTCTTTTTCAGTATTTTATTGCAGATAGATGGTCATCACTTAAACAAATCTGCGCAGTAGTTAATGATTCAGGAGAAGGAGATCGATCAGCAAAGTGAAATTTCGTTCGTGGCAAAGAAGATGAAGAAAGGTGGAGATCCTTTCCCAAACCCAGGAAATTGAAGCCAATCAATCAAAGACTTGATATAAAAGAGAAGAAGAAGAAGAAAACTTTTTTTTTTTGGAGAGACTCACATGGTTAGAGCATTGCCTGAAACTTAAATATACCAGTCTACCACACCCATGTGTGTGTGTGTGTGTTTTTTTTTTTGACGATCCTATGTGTGTGTTCTGGTTTGTTCTGGTTTGTTTCAATATCATTAATTGTAATTTTATTTTCCCCCAATTTCTAACGTGTGTGTTTGTCTTCTTTGCTGGCCTAAAAGATGGAGAGAAAAAGGAGGCCGTTTCTGTATAATTTGAATGGCAAAGTCCTATTGGTAAATGGAGAAGAGTGTTAAAGTGGAATTCACTTATTAATTTTGGCTTTTTTCCACATAAGGTTTAAATGACTTTGGAGTTTCTATGTGAACAATTCAGATCTTCTGTGCTCGAAAATCATATTATTCTAACAACAGAGTTTAG